TAACGTCGTCTGTCAACTAAGATTCGCGTTCTTTTTACAACTTAGTTTAGACAATCTAACTTTTAGTTAGTCAAGTATGCCTGTAAAAATAAAACGACTATTGACACTCGCGTTACTACTTTACATATTTTCTAGGGAGTACGCCCATGGTTCACGCACTGTTGCATACCCGTCAGCCTACACAAAACACAAAGAAATAATCCCTCGTCCTGCACCCCTCCCGGCGTACAGACGAAACGAAAACAGGAAAGTGTTTCGGTCGTTAAGGAAATGATCGAAACTATTTTTTTTATCTGATTCATCTCGGACGGAGTCGTTAGGGCCGCGCCCGCTTCGAGAAAATATTTTATTTGGAATTTCGAAGGGGCACCCGATTTGTTTTTTTTTTTATTGGCATATCCCAGGTCGTGTCTTCTTCTTTTTTATTGACAACATTAGAAGACGAAGTGGGTGTCATTAGAGGCTATATTTAGGTATAATGGGAGAGCTATTTCTATACGAAGAATTTTATTGTGTCTACCGGCCGGAAGGTTGATTCGGGTGTTTTTTTTTTTTAATTAATATAAATTAAATGGATTTAGATTACTATGATGTCTTTAAAAATATTAAATATCAGTGTTATTATTTCTTGTTTTATTCTTTCTAATTACATCAAAATAAAATAAGTAAATTTTTTAGGAATAACTATTGTAGTGTTTTCGTTTTTTTTTTTATTTTAATTTTTGCCAACCGCCAGTTTTGGAAATATTTGGCACAGACATATTATACCTGGCCAAAAGCTCATTCGTTATAATACCAATAATAGAGTATCGCAAAATTTGCGATAAGGAACGTCCCTTCGCGTTACACCTGCAAAGAAAGCCAAGACTAGACAAACTTTTAATATGAGAATTGTTTACAAAATAATATATGCTTAATACGTATATTTAAAAATATGCAAAAAAAGGAATTTAGGAAGATTTAACACATTTAGTTAAATTTTATGATGAAAAACGAAAGATTATAATAACCACAAATAGTAAGACTTTAATTATAAGAAATAATTTCTTCAATTACAGATACCTGCTTACCATCCCTGATAACTGATCTTGGCGTAACCATTCTTCCTCACTACTTTATATTCTAAGGTTTTTACAACTTTATTCTGTTTTCCTCCACGTAATAGGTGTTCTCAAGTACATTTTTTATTAATATAAATTATTATTTATAAATTTTTTATACAATATTTGAAATAACTAATTTATTTAGAATTTAATATCAAAGTAGGTACCCAAGTTGATTTTGTAACAGGCGTTACAAAAAAAATATTTTAATTTTAAGATTTAAATTCATTGATTTTCCAAACCAAATTATTTTTACCCTTATGTTTTATACAACTGGGTTATTTTAACAAACAATTTAATAAACATTCTTAAAGTCTCCTATAAGCATAATAATATTCCAAATCCACTTTACGTAAACGCGCCTGATTTGGAGGTAAACTTATGACCAATGGTATATAGTAATATAATTTGATCATTTATATGCCAATCAGACATCGAGATAGAATAAAGTAAAGATGACGTAAATACAAGTTTTGCGTTATGAGAGTTGGAGGCACTTCGAGTTACGGAAAATTGTTTTGAAAATGGCGGATTAAGTGTTAGTTTGATTTCTTTGAAGTCAATAATTTTATGTTTGAAGACAGACTGAATAAAAATGATTTCATATCATTTAGATGTAGGTAGCTATTTAACAGAAATTGAATTTATTTTCATCAAAACTAACTAACTCCACTATCTCGAGCTTGACGTATGTTGTAAAAGTATAAAATTAAATAAAAGTGATGTATGATGTAAAATTTTTCGAGTACTGAATGTCATCTGGACGAAAGTATTCAAGAGTACCTACATGTGAATTCTTTGAGTACTTAAGTACAATTTTGACATAAGTACCTACAATTTTGAGTACCTTTTACAATTGTACTGCCCAGCTCTGCATAGTGTTTTCTTTTCATTATGATTTTTTCAGATTTAAATGTATATTTTATAGATAGTAATTAATGGTTTATATTGCTTGCTCTGTGGAGCGATCGGATAGAATGACTTCACCCGATCATTTACCATCGGGGTGGTAGAGGCCTACCAATTTAAAAAAAATGGGGCATCCATAGACACCCCTCGGCGACGTTAATAACCAGCAGGACTTTGAAGATTTGAGAAGATGGATGTCTGTAGTCTGTAGACACCCCTCAGCGTCAACCAGCAAGTGTTTGATGAGTTAATAACCTGCAAGACTTTGATGAGTTGAGAAGATTGCTGTCTGTTGACCCCTCAGCGTCAACCTGTAAGTTTTTAATGGTTTGATAACCTGCAGAACTTTGATGAGCTATAAAGATGCGGCTGTCTCTAGACACCTCTCAGCGGCAAGCAGCAGGTTTTAAAAAATTGGGAGGCATCTTCTGTATACCCCTGAAGGATGCTTAATGGGCCCTATGAGGCCTACGTGCTGTAAAGGAATTCACCTTCCCCACCCTACAGAAACAGATAGGTTATATTATTAATTAAAACTAGTGTAGGATGTTGCTGTAAAATTAGAATGTGCAGTTACAGGGTTAATACCCAATGAAATTGAAAACACTGACCGCAAGTAAATAGTTAACAAAGAGTAGGCCATCTAAAAACGAATTAAATAGTTCACTAACCATAGGTTGCTTAAAAATCTCATTTTACCTACCATAAGAAAATATTTTTCTTGTCCCATATAAAACTACGAGTTTGTCATCCTAGAAACTCAAAATTTGGAAATAAATAATTTTACGTTGGGTACTATTAATAGTGGATGCCTATCCGTCAATGTCTGAAAGTGGATAAGCGTTAACGGACCTAAAATGTGCTAAAAAATCGATGGGTAAGTAATAACTGAACATTACATTAACATCTTGGGCAACGTGATTTACTATCAGTATGAGTTCTTCCTAACAATTTTACCTTTTAAAATGTAAGAAATCAGTTTGGTATAGATACTCGCAAATGTTCAAAAACTTGTTGTTTATTAAAAGATAATCCTGCAGTTTATATGGCTCGAATAGTAGGTATTATTCTACCATGTCCAGGAAAATGTCCCGACGTGAACCCCAATAAAAATGTTTGTAGCTTCACAGTCAAAAAGATATAGCAAAGAGACTTAAGGCCGCAAACTACGGTCAACTATGGTAAATTATTGAAAATGCTTGGGAAGATCTCGTAGATTCCTACTGTGCAGGACACTGCCTGAATTGCGTAGTTTAATTAATTAGTGGAGTGTATAAAGCGGTGGATGACTCGTGGCTGCACATGATGCTTCGACTTTTAAACTACTTTTTTAAAATAAGATTACTGTAAGCAACATAGCACACAATCTGGCAACAATGCTTAATTGACTAAATTAATAAAACAGTGGTATAATTCCCAAGAAAAATTAAGTGCATATATGAAAGTTTTAGGGTACTTCCAGGCTTTATTATCAGTGCAAAGCTTACATGTTATTCTTCTTTGACAGAGCCGTAGCTAGGGCGTGGCAAAGGTGGCATTTGCCACGGGCGAACGATGAACAAGGGCGCACGACAAAAAATTTAAAAGTCAGTGGTTAATGAAAATAATGGCAAATGGCGAAAGAGTAGCCAGAAAATGGATTATATACTGCAAAGAGCTAGACTCAATTTTTTGCTTCCCATGCATACTATTTTGTAATAATAAAAATATTGTTTGGATAACCGGATTTAGAGATTGGAAACATTTAAATCCATAGTTGCCTCGTCCCGAAAATTCGCTAAGCCACCGTAAAGGTTATATCCGGCTAAAGGCATTCGAAAAAAAATTGAACGAAGGTGGGTTAATTGATGATCAGTTTTTAAAAGCTATGCAAAAGGAGAAAAACAAGTGAAGACAAATTTTGAAGGTAATACTTGATGTCATTCTACACTGTGTAAAAAATAATGACTTTTGAAATTATCATTCATTCAAATTGTGGCAAATTTCTAAACACAATTGAATTGATTAGCCACTATGACAGTATTATTAAGATCACATTGAGGCTCACAATAAAGGTCAGTTGACCTATTTTTCCCCTATCATAAAAACGAGTTGATAAGTCTAGTAGCTACAGAAGTAAGGGGGCATATTATTGCGAATATCAAGACTGCAAAATATTTTTCAATATTATTTGACTATATTACAGACGCCTCTAATCAGGAACAATTAGTTCAAATAATACGTTACGTTGATATTGACTCTAACTGGAAGTGTACTGTTGAAGAGAGTTTTATTGATTTCGTCAATACCCACGAGAAAACTGGCGAAGGGCTTACAAAAGAAATAGAGGAGAAACTGATTGCTGACAAATTGGACATAACAAACATCAGAGAGCATTCATACGAATATGGCTGGTGTTCAGGCTCGAATTCTATTACTGAATGATAATATTCGATGTATTTCTTGTATTTATCTTAATTTGGTGAGTGTTTATGCTGCTCAGATAAATCCAAAAATGCAAACCTTTTTTGAAACAGTTCAACAAATATATAACTTTTTTGGTTGATCACCTTTTCGCTGGGGACTGTTGAAAAGCAAACTTAATACGTCCTTAAAAGGAACCAGAGATACACGCTGGTCATCAAAAGCGAACGCTGTCCATGCTTTAAATTCCCAGCTGGAAAATGTTGTAGACATTCTTGAAGAGGCCATTGTTTCGGAAGAAAGTACTGTAGATACGATTGTGCAATCAAAGACGTTATTGAAGTTAATAAAAAAAATTTGAATTAATCTGTTACTTGACGTTTTGAAACATTATTTTGAAAAAATTAATAGGATTAACATTTCCTTGCAAGAAAAGCAGAATGATGTGTCTAAAGGAGCTCGAATGATTCAGGGACTGTTGGACGAAATGAAAACATACAGACAAAATGATTACACTACTAATTCAGTCCTAACAGCTTATGAAAAAATCCTTTACGAGTCTCAAAAGCGAAAAAAAAAAAGAAGATGCCTGGGGAAAAAGCAAGTGATGAATCTCATTCTTTTGATTCCACCACGCAGTTTAGAGTTGGATTGTTGCAGGTTCTTGATACAATCATCATGCAAATAGAAGAAAGATTTGTGGCTCTAAAAGAGGTAGTAGATGATTTTGGATTCCTAAACGGGGTTTCTATCGAGACAACCACTTTGGATAAAATAAAAAAGCAAGCTACAGATCTTGCACTTAAGTATTCTGCTGACTTAAATGCTTACGAATTCACATCAATAATAGAAAGCTTCAAATTAAAAAGTAAAATACTGTATGAAAATGTTATTGAAATGGGTATCTTGGAAATTTTGCAAGGTATTTATAACCCGTCCGTAGAAAATATTTATCCAAGCATACAGACGGCTTTAAAAATATTTACGTACTTTTGTAGGGCAACAACGATTAACAAATATATCTATAATTTCAATTCAAAAATCGACTGCAATTAATTTAAATTATGATGAGATTATGAACATATTTGATGAATCTAAATCTAGAAAAGTTGTATATTTAATGTCATTATGTGATTAAAACCAAATAATTTTTTTTTGTTCAGAGAATATATTTTTAGTTATTTTATTTTTAGATTACTTATTTGATATTTTTAGTTTTTTTGTTTTTACGTCTGTTTTTATTAAAATGAAATATATATTTCACAAGCTTTTTAATTTAGGTTGGGAGAGGTGCACAATTTGTGATTTGCCACAGGCGCCAACAAGTCTAGTTACGGCTCTGTCTTTTGAACACTGCACTTTAAACGTTACATAATAGTACCCGAGAATACCGATCAAGGAGAAGCGACAGTAGCTGTCGGTACCTTTGATATCGGATGTACCTTTTTCACAGTATGACTTTGACTGATACACAACTTAGCACGCTGAGAAAACATGCTTATTTTCTACACTGAGCGAAATAGTTTTGCAAATTATCTGAAATTATTGTTATAGTCCATGCGCAAATGTTGCAATGTGATTTAATTACATTGAAGTAGTTAGGGTTAATACCAATGCTGAAATTTCGGCACCAAAATATAATTCATTATGTAATAATTAATTGTTTATTATAAAAGTAAAAGATGTTTATTATTTTATAATTTATCTATAAAATTTGTTCAATATTTGGTTTATTTATTGTTAAAAATATAATAAAAGCCCCATATTTAAATTAAATTACCTTTTCCTTAACTAAAAATAAGGTAAATAAAATTAAGGATGTCAAAAAAAAATTAGGTAACAATTAAAAAGACATTAAGTTTGAGAGATTTAACTAAAAATATTTGCAATGTGCATATATTTTCAAAGCTTTTAGGTTTAAAATGTACTTACATATTTTTAGAATTTCTAGATTTATATTATATTAAAAGTACTTTCAAGTTTATCACTCATTTCTGTAGAAACAAGTGTTTTCTCGCTAAGTTAAACCAGATGTCATTTAAGGTTAAGATGTATTTAGAGTTAAATACCTGGCCTGGCTATTACCCAGACAATACAAATATGTTCATTGGACGTCCATTCGATATACAATTTTGGATGTCTAGACGTCCAAAAATGAGTTTTCTGGACTTCCGACATCCAATGGACGTCCAGTGAAGTATACAAATGGCACACTTTTGACCATTCAGAGGACGTCCAATTCTGGAATATATTTGGACGTCGAATACTGAACATTCAAAAAACGTCCAGGATTATATTTCCATTGAGACCACATCCCCACTTTTTTACAGAACCGCAACTCACCACACACTATTTTATATTATTAATAATTTGTTTTTTATTTTCGCAAACCGCTATACACCATTTATTTATTTTTTATTAAAAATCGCTTGACCTGAGCAGGAATCGAACTCACGACACATCTATTATCGTTTTACGCTTTCAATCGCTAGACGAGCTCGACCAAGGAACCACTTGAAAACTTTTTACTAGATACAGTTATAATTGAATAAGATTTCAAACTTCCGCTGATAGAATGAAATGCAATATATTCAATTTGTCAATTTTTAATAACCAGTTATATTAAAAAAAAAAGAAGTATATATAGATGGGTATTATCTGGTAAGCTTAATAAATAATGACCTAAGATGGACGTCCACTGAACGTCAAAATATTACTGAACTTAAACTTAAACAGACGTTTTCTGGGTATCGATATTCAGCTGTCAATTTAATTATCATAAACGGACGTACACTGGATACCCGGATATGGACGTCCTGACCCTCAAATAGATCTAAAGTGGACGTCCATTGGACTATGTGTGCATAGACGAATTTTTAGAAATAGTACTTATTTAATTATGCACCAATATTTCCAAAATCAACTCCAGTATGATTCATTCAATAAATGTAAATATGAATGGGCAAAACATCTTTATATTGACATATTGTAACTTACAATTTAGCCTTAATAAAGGGATTTTGCCCACTTTGACCAATCCTAATTGAAATACGCGAATATATTATATTTTTTTAAATATAATTTCAAAATAAAATAAACAAAATCTGCAGTTCATTGTTTATTAAATTTATTTAAAAGAAGAAAAACATATATTTCACAAAATACAATATCTACATATGAAAAATAAAATGTCAAAAATGATTAAATCATTATACTTAATATTTATGCATGTGATAAAATTCTTAGTTTCCTAATAACTTTTTTGGCATATTTTATATCCGTATTAGAATACCTTAGTGTGTAAAAATCTTCATCTTATTACTACACAAAACAAACACCAAAAAATATCACTTAACATTGCTCACGTACTAAACACAACTTGGACTGACTTTGACAGATAACATAATTTTGAGTGATACACAACTTATTTTTGCACATGCGCGTTACAAAACGGTACACTGAAAACACCAAGCTGTCGCTTCTCCTTGATCGGTATTCTCGGATAGTACTTTTACTGATATATGAGATGCAATTCTGATATGTTACCAGCGTCTCGTCACCACCGAATAAAAGTGTTTTAAAAAGAGTTAGTCTGGGTTTTTTGGGATTTAGGACGTCGCCAAATTAAAAGGTTGTCTTCAGGGGTACATACACTAACACACACGTGATTATTGTAAAAACTATTAAGGTAAAACTGCTTTATTACTGACGCCGTTCGTGACACATCCAACCTGTATCGCCAGGAGCAGATAATACTTGCCCGTTATTGCCCGCGTTTTTACAGGGAACCGAGTTGGGGGATATTTATCGGACATTGACAATTTGCCACGGTAAATTTGAATTTAACTTCCATTGAGAATTACTTGAATTCTCAATAGCTACTACGTGTTAAATTTAATTTTGTCCTAGCTAAGAAGTTTAAAAAGTGTCATGACATACAATGACTCTGCAATAAAATATTAATATAACTATTCTTCCTGTAGCTGTTAAATTTCGAGAATTTTATCTTCATTAAATACCTTTCCTACACCTTATTTTAAAGGTATTCACTAATATATTTAAGACATCCCATGACAGATCAACAGTCATTTCTGTTTTAAACGAACACAAAAATGTTTCTAAGACAATTTCGTTTATTAAACAACAAATAAATTAATCACAAATAGAATTTTCCGCCGTAAAATATTTGAAAGAAAATCATATCAGAAAATAAGTTATTAGCGAATTGATTTCCGTTGTGCGATAAATAAAACTCCATTTTCGTTTCGACTAATAAAATAAAACGTCCCTTTGTGTTTTTACATGCGCAACATAAAAATGTTATGCACTCGAACACTAAAGTATTTTAGTTGGGTATTCATATTGTTGAGGGAAAACATGAAAATGCGGCGGATGCAAGAAAGGGTCGTCGTTCCCGGTTTTACTGATTTTTCCGGGAAACGCGAGCAGAGGGTTTTTACTGTGGTTGTCATATGACGGACTGGCAACCATAAATAACTTCTTTGGGGGGTACCTATCTTTCTGGAAGGAAAGCACAAGACTGATAGTAAGAAATGTCGTCTTTTATCCTTAAACTAAGTTGTTATTTTTCTCAGATTTGGATGAAAATGTTACGGCAGACGTTTCTCGTTTGGATTACATAAAGAATTTGTGGGAAACTGGTAGAACTTTTTTTTCGTTTTGCTTCGCTTTAATGACACAAGTTTGTCGTGTAGTAATATTTGTCAGAAAAATAACTTACAAAAAATAATAAAAGAACTTAAGAGAAAATGTTTAGTTATCAAAATTGAAATCCCATTATTTATTTAGTAAAGCACATGAGACATTTTAAATGTAAATTAGTCAAGTTTTAAGAAAACCTTCATTTACTTAGGCACTTATAGAAAAATTTAAATTAAAAAACTATTATTGACTATTATTCAAAAACAAAGTTTAAATTTCTGAAATAAATATCTTTTAGTGAGCTATTTAACTACTTTCTACTAGTCGAAAGTCACCATAGATATGGTATTCTAGCTATGGTATTTTAGCTATGGTGCCGTATACAAATGGTTAAGATTATACAAGCTATATTATTTAATATTACGTTGTCGAAAGAATATCGATACCAAAAGACCTGTTATACGCCGAAAGTAAAATCATGGATCTTAGCCACATCTCCAACTAGCTATTGATAAAAGTGTATTTGTTGTGAAGGCACCACAGCATGTCTAAATCGGAGTGAGAGGACAGATTATCTTCGTAAAACATTTCTGACAGCGCCTCATCATCATCTACTAACTATATAGTCCAGGAGATAGTGACGACTTTTGGTATTTATTTTCCCAGTCAGCAGACATGGATAGAGAATTGTAGGGTTAGCATTTCTAAGCAAAATTTATATACAGGGTGTTCCAAATTGTTTTACCTAGGCTATAACTTCTATACCATGCAAGATAATCGAACCGGACAAAAGTCATCCATTTTTTCTGCTCATTTTTGTTGTCGCTACTTTTCTTTACACAACTGTTTTTAAAACTTTGAAATTGCTCCCAAAATAAGTAAGAAATTAAATAAAACTGTATGTCAAGTTGATAAAAAATACTTTATTAAGTGAAACATAATTAAAAAAATACATAGAAACAAGAGAAGTAGAAGACAAGAAATAATTAGCAACAAACAAAGAGTAGTAATTTGAGCACCTCCCACTTCTATACAATTGTCAAACCTTTACAATAAATTTCTAGTACAGGTAGCTCGAATCATGGCCGGTGTAAATTTGTAACAAGCATGTCTGATTATAGTTTTTAAATCTTCTAAGTCCTCTGGTTTAGTTTCGTATACTACGTCCTTAATAGTACCCCAGAAAAAAAATGTAGAGGCGAAAAATCAGGTGACCTAGCCGGCCACTGGATAATTGGAGAATGCGTGGATATAACACGGCTCACAATTTGTGCATTATGAGCTGGTGCACCATCTTGCTGCCACCACGTATCACGTCTTTGATTAAGAGGAACACCTTTCAACAAATCAAGAACGGTATTGATTAAAAAATCACGATATCCTATTCCCGTTAGAGTGTTTTCATAAAAATAGGGACCTATAATCCTACCATTGAACAAACCACACCATACGTTTATGCCCCAAATATTTTGAAAC